CGAAGACTGCACATTTATATAGACACTCCTTATCATTTCCGAGCAGATTTCCCCATGACACCGACAAAAGACCATTGTGAATTTAGTGGATCCTCTAGAAAATATTTGTATCTGCCTCGTTTCCCCGGAAGCCTAGATGTGTGCATTAGTCACCGTTGAAGCAAAAAAGCCACGTGGACGTACTCAGTCAAAACTGTTGCCGTATCGTTGGCTACTAACCGTGATCGGAATGGCTACTTCTCTGTCTTATTTTAATAATCAAATTTGTTCGATTGCACGCTTTTTGAAAATGGAGGCACGTTGAACGCGGTCATTGTTTTCATTGTAGGATATTTTTTTTTTAAAAATACCTATATTTTTCAGTTCATCATTAACTGTAAAATATCGCAAAAGGAAAATTTTTACTGACACTATTAAAACTTTGCACGTTTATCTGCGAACATTGTTAAATTCTTTTTTGGTACTTTTAGGAAACCACTTGTTTATGAACAGACAGCTTACTGGCGCTAACACATATAGCCCTTCGCAGTTTGCCGTTATTTATCTAAATAATTAAATTAATATAGTATAATTCACAACGGAAAGCAATAGTAATGATATAGTTTAGGCGTAAATTCTGCACGCGAGGACACAAAATCCAACGGTTTGCTACTCTGCGCTTTACAACTAGTTTATTTACGCCGAGGTTCTTTCTCTTTAGTAAAACGCAATTCAGAGATATTATCTAAGTCAAAATACGCTTATACGATAAATAGTTAAACATGACGCGAGATTAGTTTAATTAATATGAATACAATGGATTGCCCAATAAAAGCATAAGTGAAATTTCTGCTAAGATACATACTCCTATCCAGAGAAAAACATATCAACATTAAAAAAACAGACAACAGCCGTGTTTCGATGGAAATTAGACATAGACGTAAAATGTGCACATTTTTTCTCATAATTATATTATAAATGTTAGTCTTCAAGTGATGACAGTTAGGTCGCAATGTGCACATTTAATAGATTCATCAATCAGGGAACGATTATGATAATCTTCCAACATAACAATGATGACCAATGTTGTTTGAATTGATAGAGTTGTCTTTTTAAAATGAATTTAGTCGAGCATCAACATTCCATAATTTGAAGAAGCAGGGCACTAAATAATAATATGTTATGCTTTAATGCAGATAAAAAGACCATAAGAGCTACCACGTGGTGTTCGGGCTAATACAGTTAAACCTATGTGCAGCGACTTTCAGGCGGGGTTTATTAGGAGAAGATAGAGATAATTATTGGGTATTTAAGGGTGATGGAAAGAGTATATTCTGAACCGAGGGGTTGAATTATAGGTTTTCGGTGATTGAATCTAGGAGTACATGTCCGTCCGCTAGAGCGGTGTATCCCGAATACATATTTCGGGGCGTATTTGCCGACGGAAAAACGTTATGTACCGTCTGGTGTCGTTTCACACTGGGCATAGTGTAGTAGACAATGCACGGACATCGGTGTACTGTCAATTGTGTTGGCGGTGCCAGCTTAACCGAAGAGCTACTCACAGTTTAAGGAGTGTGGAAATAGGAGGGATAAAAGGCTTCCGTCGGCGAAGTGCAAAGTGATGCTCGTTGATAGGCGTCCCGAGACACAAACACAAGCCACCGCATACCCAGTCCTAATTACTGACTATATAGTATAAATCACAGTCAACATTGCGTGTGAAACGCATTGAGAAGAATGTGACCGCATAGCCTTCACACATGTATGATTTTTCGCAGAAAATGCATGGATTGCTTGGATGGGTTACGTTACAATAAAATCTAAACATTTCCAAGTACCGGACAATCATACCGCCTTTTGTTCAATAAAAGGCATACTTCGGGAAAATCAGTATATTTCCGACACTGCATCCCCAGGTCATCGTCAGACTTGAGAGAAATGTGCAAGGAATTGTTAGCGTTTCCAATACAGGAGACTATCCGAGTTCTAGGAAGCAGTTCGGAACAAGAGGTTTATTTTCCTGACGTTTCGGATTCCCTTGGGAATCCTTAA